AATGGCGCGTGGGTCCCGAGGAAGGGGCGGGCCGACTGCTGGGGGCCGACCTCCCTCGGGTCCGACTGGTGGGGCTCTAGCCGTCTTCCGGGCTCTCACTGATTGGTGGGGCCCGTCGTCCTTGGGCCGTACCAACAGGCCGTCATGGGAGCAGGTCTCTGTCTGCTTGTGGTGATGTCAGGAGTGGTGTGGCAACAGTACCGCGCCGGGCGGAGATCTCCGCCGGTACGGTGCACTGTGGCCACGCCCGTCCCTGGATCGGGGGGGGGGGGGCTATACTGTAGCCACTCCTTGTCTTGTCTTTCTTGATGAGGGCGCGGGCTTCGTTAGCGCGACGGGCCGACTGCTAGGGGTCGGCTTCTCTAGAAGCCGCCAACTAGGAGTCAGCTTGTCTTGAAGTCGGTCTCTAGGACTCGGCCGTCTACGGGCAGCCGGCTATTCCTCTAGCCGGCCACCAGAATGCGGCACTTTATCTTGATGCCTTGAAAGGCGCAGCCAGCCCCGATGTCTTGAAAGATTCTGGGCCTCAGGTTAACCTACCCGTGGCTCATTACTCCGACATCTCCCGTCATTACCAGTTTCCTTAGATGGAAAGTAGGATAAGTTGCATTAGGTGTAGATCCACCCAACATAATAGATACGACTATGAAGGAACACCTAAATAAGGTACTTCCTCCAATCTATATTAATTTTCGCTGACTTGGTGTCAGCACCTCCATGCTGCTTACTGCTGCCTGTTTTTCCTCAGAGGTGGGCGAGCATTTTGTGCTCGGCTGTTGCCGCGCGGAGGTGCGGGAAGGAGGTTTCTGCATGGGGGATTGGAAAATGTGCGTGCTAAGGCGAGACTGGGCGGGCTGTGTCGAGCAGGTGCTGCTAGGAGATTCGGCAGCAACGAGGGTGCAGTAGTGTGAGGCTTGTCGGCTGTAGGAAGTGACATGGCTGTATTTCTTTTGCCTGCTATACTGTAAGAGACAGATGAACGAGCGGCACTAAACTATGGACGTCACTTGGTGCTTGAGGAAAACCCTTATAAAAGGTGGTGACGTGTGGTTAAGTTTTTTTTGCGTTTTCATACATATTTGCTGAGAGTGATATTTGCTGTGAATGAAGTTTTTGTCATGTTGTGATTACCATATTTTCTTTTCAGAACGTTTGGCACATCCTACCTTCCTTTTTTTGCCAATTAAGGTATGAATAAAGCATTGATCTCTCACCAGCAATGACCGGCTGCTTTAGTGCCACGGGCCAATCCCGATTGTTGGAGATGTGGAAGCTTCTCCGGCGTTGAATGAGGCTCAATCTGAGATGATTATTTTCTTATGGAAAAACATCCCTAAAGTTGGTTTAGAAAGAATTTGAGCAATTCCACCAAATGTTCACTTACTTTTCAGGGCTCACCGCTTTGTAGATTACGACAGATGTATTTTAGGTGCATATGATTGGCACTCAAGTGCATAAAGTCGGTTGAATCAGGATCTTCCTTTTTCATGCATTGTTTTGCTAACTTTTGATCTTTCATTTAGTAGCTCGGACTGGTCAAATTGGAAATTAAATTTTTTATTGCATTATTTTTCTAACTTATGACCTCTCATTTAGTAGCTCATATAGTTAAATAGGGAATTGTAAATTTAATTTTAGTTGTAGTGTTTAAATTTCTAGAACCTCATGAACCAGAACATGGTGTCGCTGTTGTTGACCTACCCTTGCAAGCCACCTCCGTTTGTCCTCAAATTGGGATGTGTGCGCTGTTGACGACGACGCACCACCTCACTCCTCAATGTCGTGCCTCGGGATGGGGCAAATGAATCGATGAATCACGTAGTGGCAGGGGTGGACCCAGGATGAAAATGTCCCGGTGTCCACGCCTAAATTACACATATGTGGACACCAAGCTATGTTATGCATAAAACTAACATACTTAACCATTGTAGATATCCAATAGTAAAAATGCTTATCAAAATACTGGTCTACTTGTAATCGTAGTTGATTATGCGAAGTTTTTTGCCCAAGTTGAACAATAACGCATAAAAACTTTGAAGACAAATTTACTCAGCTAAGGCTACACTATTTATGTTTGAATAGGCTAACATCAAAAAAAATAAAACATATTGATTGAATTTATAATTATGAAGATGTACTTACTTACTTACATTATGTTGTAGGAGTACTGAGTTGTGCATTCAAAGGTTGAGGAATAATCCATACAAATGAGAACCACTTGGACTTGATTCTTACTTACCAACACGAGCAAATGGTAGTAATTCAATTCTTAATTGTGGCATCCTTGAGACTAAAAGCCCTAGACCTACAATTTTTTTTGTATAGGTACGTACTTGGACTTGATTGTGCTCCCTTCGTAAAGAAATTTAAGAGTGTTTAGATCACTCAGGCTCTTATATTTCTTCACAAAGGGAATAGCGACTTGCGGTACTTCTTTCATCAATTGTCCAGCGATTGGGCGAATAGGCCATGGCAGCACGGACGCTTCGATGAAGATTGGGCGGGTGGATGAGGCGATGCCATGACGAATCTTTGCAGGGGGAGGCAAGAAGCCATGAGTAGGCGCAGGTTTTCTTTTGGGGTTGCGGACCTAAATAAAAGCGATCAAAGTAGTTGATGAAAATCTTATCCTTCCTTATCTCTTCGATACAGTATATCGCAACGTTGTTGCCGCTAACAGCACTTCCTGAATCATAGGCACACATGCCATGGAGAGTGCACCAGATCCTAAAGACTAGGACTTTCTATACAAGACGTTTACACAAGGCGCACATGGCTATACAGTTTTTTTTTTTGAGAAATACATGACTATACAAATGTTACAGTACAGTTTAACAAAATTGATCGATAGCCTGGGGTGTGGCTAGCTGGGTGCCTCAATCGCCAATAGATGGGCCAGGCCTGTGCACCCTCTCGCTCCAGCCGCTCCAGCCGGTGTCCACGAATGAATTTTACCGGTGTCCCACGCAATATATCAGCGATCGCTTAAGGTAATCGGAGTACTTACCCGGTGTCCTGTGACACCGGGTGTGTCTACGTGGGTCCGCCCCTGCGTAGTGGTCAACAAAGAGGGGGAAAACGGGAGAGAAAATTTGGCGCTTGCCATGACACACGTGAAGGCATTACTCACCTTTTTCCCATAGCAACGCACGGGTACTGTGCTAATGATACATAGGCGCCGAGCGCAGCAACACGACCCCAAACACTACAAGTGCAACCGGGGACTTCAACAGTGACCACGCCACCGTGAAGAAATGAAGTCACATACGACGAACCATGAGCTCCAAGACGGTGCCTTCAAGAAGGATACGACACCGCCCGATCCGAGGATCAGAGTTTCCCCAGGAGCCACACGATGGGCAATGAAAGCCGCGACGACGCCTTCAAGAAGGGCACGAGCAACGCCGCCGCCGGTCCGTCCAAAGATAGAGCAGGTTTTCACCCCGGCCAACACTCACCGCCACCGAACGCCCACCCCAGTGACCACACCCCCCACACGGCCATGGTCGCCGGGCAGCACCGAGCGACGGGCTCTGCCCAAGAGCACCACGCTACCACCACCAGGCCCGCTGCCCCGACATGCAAGACCTCGACAACCCCTCACTCGATACCCGTCACTACCCCACCCGAGAAGACGAGCGGACCCCGTGGCAAACTAGCCTCCATCGACTCGTCCTGCCGCATCGAGCGCGAGACGAGCACGGTCCTGCTGCTGGGCGCGAGACGAGTGTGGTCCTGCTGCCGGGCGCGAGACAGGTGTGCTCCTGCTGCCGGGCGCGAGACGGGCTCGGTCCTGCTGCCGGGCGCGAGACGAGATCCGTCCTGCTGCCCTAGCACGAGACTAAAGATGGGTCACAGCTGGGAGAAGGCCATTCCTTCAACGGGAATAGCACCCGGATGACGAGGAGATAGATCGAAGGCCGATACAAGCGGCCTACGGACGAGCCAACGCCAAGGCATACCAGCCGCCGCCGTAGCCAACTTGCCAAGCCGCCATGGAGCCACCCACGGCCGGAGCAGCAGCCACACCGGACCACTGCCTAACCCGCGCGAGCTCCAAGCGTCGGAGCCGCCGGGCATGCACCTGCGCCATCAGACAGCCACCCCGGACGCCAACACCAAGCCGCCCGGAGCGACCCCGGTCCGCACCGCCACCACGCCGCTGCTACCTCCGCACAGCGGCAAGGAAGAAGTCGCCGACCACAACCCAAGCTATCCACAACCCGCGCCGCCCACCATGGTGGCCGCCAGATCTAGGTCATCCCGCGACACGAGCTGAAGCAAGACCACCAGATCGGGCACCACCCCCGCAGCCCGCCACCACCAGGAGACACGCACGCACCCAACGGAAGGGAGGCCGCCTCGCGCCACCATGGCAGCCGCCGCATCAGATCTGAGGAGGGCGAACCCTAGCAGACCCGATCGAAGGGGCAGGAAGAGCACGCACAACCCCGCCGCCGTGCACCCAACATGCACCAGCGCCACTGCTGCAACCACGCGCCGCCATGCCCCGCACCAACATGGCGCCTCCACCCAGCGGCCGTGTCCCGCGCCACCACCAGCCAAGGGATGAGGAAGGACTCCCGCCGCCACCGGCCAGGCTTCGCCCGGTCACGCCCTCTGGCGGCAGCGCAGGGGGAGGGAGGAAGGGAAGGGGCGGCGTAGAGTCGCCCGTCGGCTCGCAGGAGCCGAGGGAGCGACGAAGGGGTGAAGGAAAAGTTGTTGTTTTATGCTTTGCGTAGTTGAGTTCAAACGGAGGTCTATTGCAAAGACTCAAGTGCATTGGCGGGCGACTATGCGCAAACACAGTATTGATGCTGCTCACATGGATGAAAGATGGGATGCAAGCATACACGATGTCTCTCAACACACGCCCATATACATTATTCAACAGTCAATACACTGAAGCAGCCCAAAGCGTCATCATAGTCAATACAAATACTAATATAAGCAAGCACATAACGACACAACGTTTATAGATCTAGTTGAAACAGAGCATGTTAATCTGACTGTCGATCATCCTTGTTGCTTGGATTAGGCTCCAATCCTAATGCTTCCCTGAATAATGGCCCCCCATGTATACGGGCCACCGCATAGAGCGTTGCAACGCTTCCTGTAGACACCGCGACTGTATACAGAAATATGTTGCGTAGAAACTTAGGGTGATTATCTGACCACCTACAAATGAAAAGCAAGTTAAAAACTGATTTATAACATCACAAGAAAACATCTAAACGATGTACTCTGGTAGATAAAGACAAGAATTTACCATGGTGTGTATTCCGCATTACTGATGAACGAAGCTGATTCCGCGGCTGATTGCACTCCATGCTGGTGTAGACAGTTAAGAGTTACAAACATTAATTAACAAGATTAACATGAAGAAGAAGAAGAAGAAGAAGAAGAAACAAAAATACGGCAAATACTAATCTGATTTTCCAAATAGACACGGTCAATAACGAGTGCATGCGTACCTTGGTGTTATTAACAAGATTAGGTGATCCTGAGGAGCAAAATCGGCGAAGGGAGCTCCCGGCATGGCCGATCCGCCGCTGTCCCTCCTTGACGGCCGCTGAGGCGCTCGCCGACAAATACGGATGCGGTGCTCGCTGAAGGACGCGGCTGCACATCTTTCTCGCCGCGAAACGAAGCGCCGACGCCATCGATTATCTACTCGACGAGAAGATCTCCCAGTTTCGTTGTTCTAGCCGCCGGGTATGTTGGATGTTCCAAATCCTCTTCTGATCCCCTTCTCTTTCCCAAGTTTCCATTATATATATGCTACCGGCTAGGCTAGCTAGGGCTCCCCGTCTTCGACTTGGACTGGAACACGGCCTGCTACTTTTTTGTTTTTGAGACAAACACGGCCCGCTGGTACCAAACCGTCAGGCTGCAGGTGGACGTGGGCTGCCCGTTTCGCCCACATCAGAAAACGCGTTCATGGGCTGTCCCACATCCTACCCACATGGTTCACATCCAGCCAGCTCAGCAGCAGCCGGAGCTCCGCCGCCCGCCGGTAGCTCCGCCCCTACGCGCTCCGCCTTTACGCATCCTCCAACTCCGTGGCGTTCTACCTCCTCGCTATCGTCTCCGCCCTCCGGGCCGCCGGCCCATATGACCCAGCCGCCGCTTCCGCCTCGCCTCCTTCAAGCCGAGGGAGTAGAGCTTCGCGTGAGCTGCCGATCCCTAATCACTGCCCCCGATGAAGGAGACCGGTACCGACGCCGGCAAGGGCGACAACCCCAAGAACCAAGACTAGCGTCGATGGATTGCGTCGTGCACAAGAAGCAGCCGGCGAGGGCGTTGAAGCCCGCAAAGAACCCTCAAGACCAGCCACCGGAAGAACAAGGTAAGTTTATATTTTTCTTTGCTTGGTGTGATCGACGGCTTGTAGTCTCTTGTCTATCGACTTCATTTTTGTTTACAAGTAAGCGGTACTAAAAGTTCAGAACACACACTGGTGGTGTTGAGCAATTGCCAATTGGTGAAGGATTTCGAGACATAACTCCTGCCCTCTTATAATCGCTACTAGTTAGACCTGACAAACAGTGTGTTCATGTAGGGAAAAAAAGAGAGCATGTACCACTGCGTTGTATATTCTAATAAACACTACGGTACTACAAATGTCAGTCTCACACAATTCGAACATGCAAGTTAGGCTGTTAGCTAGTTAGGGTGTTTTATTGTTTTCCAGTGCTTATTGGCTCATGTTGTTTCCCGAATCAGCACTGATCAGCACTGTTGGCAAGTTAGGCTGAATTGATACTGTAGACTAAGCCTTATCGAATCACATATCCTGGGTGGTTCAGTTTTGCCTAAGCAACCCTCCTCTGTAGTTTATACACTTGTTCATAGTTCCTTCATGAACCACGGTTATCCAAATACATTTCTCAAATCACAGGAACCACCAGCTCTGGTTTGGTTGCAGATCGTCAATCATAATTTTGCATCCGAACTTTTTGACCTGCAAGAATCACCATGAATCCGCACTGGACACTGGGAAATAACAGAGTTATCAATTAATTCCTCTGTTCCAGGATATTTGAAGTTCTAGGTTTGTCATAAATAATACTCCCTCTGTTCCGAATTACTTGTCGCAGGTATGGATGTATCTAGATGTATTTTAGTTCTAGATACATTCATTTCTGCGACAAGTAATTTGAAACGGAGGGAGTGCCTACTTAAATTTGAGCAAGTTTATGTATATTCATTATGGCCATATATGGACTTACAGTCGGACAGATTCGCACAGTAGCCATATCAACTTCACTGGGCTCAAATCACCGTCCTCTCTTGCTCGCAAGTTAAATAGGCAGTGGAGAACCTTGCAGCCTATATGTCATGCCAACAGTTGATTAACACGCATATCGTATAAACATGCAACACCACATGCTAATCCAAGGCGAAATCAATCTGTGATGAAGGGCAAAGATCTCTGGATCATCCGTGTTAATACAAACCTCATACCATAACTTGCTGAAAGGTTTTAGACTAGCTGCAATAAAAATTACAAAAGCAAACTGTTAGTATAAGAGATGTACCATCATGACAGAAAAAAGCTTGTACAGGAAGAGACAGCGAAAGGAGAGATAGCATTACAATTTTTTTGTATGTGCAGCCTACAACCAGAGCAACCACAACCTTTGTATTAGTTTGTCTGCATCAAAAGCTTCAGCAGTTTCACTCCAAAGAGCCACTGTAATTGTCTCCCTGGAATAAAAAAAACAGTTAGAACTGAAGCTACCGGCATGCAGAAAATTCAGACATTCCACCATGCACAAATAAATCTGAAAACTATGTTCATCACAGAGTAAAGGAAGTGGGGCATTGTATTGGTATAAGTCTCAAGGTTCTCTTCGAGTTGGATGTCCTTTCACATCCACAGTGACAACATGTGATACATGTCTTACTATACTAATCGCATCTATAGATATAGGGAAGGCCTAATATTCATGTAAAAACTGGTAGACCAGCAGTGCCAATGAAGCGCAATAAAAAGACAATCTATACAACATGTTTTCAGTATACTCTAGAACTAAATAATTCTGTAAATACAGCGGCAACTTACTTCCAGGCATGGGGTGAATCTCTGTATGTCTATATCATTCACCAGGCCACAAGACGATGGTCCACATCACAAAAAGAGTATTTCGCCGCCTTGATCTCCAAAAATTCCAGGTAAATAATCATGTACCGTAAACTTCTCTAAATGTGCTCCGGGTATGGAACCTTGCATGGAGCAACCCTGCATCCGAGTTTCAAAAAAGAGTTATCACAAAACCCAACTTCCAATGAACATCGTAGGACAATCACCAAAACAGAAAGACATACAAAATATTAAAAACACCAAGTCAAAAGCAAAGACCAATCTTTACTTTTTTCTAAGATATCCATTGCTTCGTCGGGGTACGAACAACGATGGAGTGCCATGGTGAACAACTAATTTCATCCACTATATGGTAAATGTAAAACAAGATTCTTTTGAAGCTAGTCCGAGAGTGTAGGCTAGGTTGTTAGCAATAAGTGTACACATTTGGAAGGAAGAAAATATTGGTTTAATAGATGTCCATAACTCTTTACTAATTACTAAACATAGAAATATCTGTACAAAACACAATAGCCTTTTTTCATAGCAGTGAAATAACATGTTTCTACATTAAGAAAACAGCAGCTGCTACTGGTGTACTGAAACCATGTGTAACCTGCATCCAAAAACTTCAGTGAAAACACCCCAAGGATTGTCTGTTTTCACCATGGAACCAACATACAGGGCACTAAATCTTGCAACTGGTTCAAATGTATGAAATTACGAAGGAAGTTCGATCAGGGACACCAAACCAAGAATCGAAGAAGAAAATACTGGTCGTACAGATCTCATCATAGCATTCACTTATGTAGCACTAATTGATGCCAAAAGAAAACTTGTATTACTTCATGTAATCATTACCACAGAATTTCCATTTTATTCTAAACAACGAAAGGGGAAAAGGTCCCTGCTCACCCCATCTAAAATAACAGAGCACTGGGGCCTATAGACCAGAAACCACATGCACAAAAAGCAAAAATGCAAACCAACCATCTTCAGTACAAACTGCCAAGCTCAATTTAACCATATATTAACAGGCACCCACTATTTCATCCACCATGAAAATGTGGCACCGAAGCAACTCATTCTTGGATAGGAACAAGGGCAGCCCCAACGACGGCGTGCGAATAGGAGCAAGGGCGGCCATGGCGCCAGCAGGCTGAGAAGAGTGTGGCGACAACGGAGAAGCAGGAGGTAGCACGAGGGAGGAGATCAACGACAACAGCACGGAGGCGGACGAGCGCTGGTGGCAGGCCAGAAACCCTAGCACGAGCACTAGGAAGTGAAGGAGGTAATGAGAGGTACATGAGGGGGTGTTGTGCAGCCATGCGAGAGAGCAAGGCCAACAAAGACCGAACACAACCGCCCATAGTGGGCCTACTGGCAGTGATACATCCACTTAGAAATGGGCCAACCAACGCCCCCCAAAGCCCCAACGATCTAGAACGCAGCATTTTGTGGAAGAATAATATCTGTAGGGATGCAGCAAACAGATCATAATAACTTCAACTGTTATAGCCTACATCAATAGTAACAGCAGGAGCCTTGGCAAGAGAAAATAGAATGCAGAGCTTAGCATGAATTGGTACATGAAAATTTTAACATCAAGGTAATAGCTTGACTAAAAGCAATATAGATGCGCCTATATCGCCATGGCACTGCTAATTCCAGATATGACATGAACACATGCGTAAACAAACTTCACGAATAAAGCCATAGCAAACATGCAGTAGAGTACCAAACTGAACCACCATAGTTGCTGAAAATATCATGTGTCGCATACCAGACAACTAAACTTGGCGCCACCAGTGCGCGCGCACAACATGGAGGTTTATGAGAAAAAACATATGGAAGAACAATTATTCAGTTAAGCATATGTTTATCTCAGGCTGTATGAAATGAAAATAGTGTTAATTCACATTTATTTACAGATTTATTTCAGATGTTGTCATCATTAATATTAGAAGAAACATGATCAAGCAAGGACTGGACCAATAGCAAGTAAGATAATGCCCCAAGATCTGTACCACCTTAATTTCCATCTTCTCTATCAAAATAATAATAACTTTGCTCCACCTAACTACCGGTTGATAAAATAGATCAACTTAGGCAATTTCTTTTGTTGCAATTAAAATCCAAGAAATTTATAATTTACAGTACCTAGTACTCCCTCTGTAAACTAATATAAGAGCTTTTAGACTACTACTTATATAAGTTTACAAAGGGAGTACCTGTTAATATTGTTTCTTGACACTCTGTCCAGATGGCATTACAGGAGGGCTATCTTATAAGCAGCTTAAGCCTGAAAGAATAAGCATACTATTAGGAATGAATATCAGGCATGAGCAGTGGAGATAGACCATTTTCATTTATATGGGCATTGCACAAAAAGATGTTTTCCAGTGCTTACTTTCAGAACTTTCTATAGATCTGGACCATCACGTTTGTTTATGATACTCAGGAAGTAGTCCAAATTTGCTACAATACATTTAGAACCTACAAATGTTCAAAATATATTTCCTTAAGCATAACCAATACAGCAATCAGAATATAAATAAGCATATATAACATCAAATA